CCATTTGAATGAGTGGGGAGAATATGCCACCGTCACTACTAAGCAAAAATTTATGGGATCACATCACATAGGGTTGGGAATATTAGACCCTTAGAGGGGCGTATTAGTGGCTCTTATGGCTAATCTAATCTCGATTTATGCCAATAAAAATAATTAAACGTTATCACTCCCAGCAAGTATACAATACATACAAGATATGTAAGCTAGGATAAGCAATCATGAACAACAAAGAGATATATCCATATATATGCAAGGATATATAAACTAACACAAGATAATATTATCCTTACCAAAAAGATATAACAATATGATATATGCAAGGATATGAAACTAACACAAGGCGGTAAACAATATGAATTAAATAGTGGATCATATAGTAATGAGGCTATGCCATGGCCGATATAAAGATATGACATAAATATTAATTGAAGCGCCAAAGACACACTCAAACAAGCAATTATGATCAACGTAGTTTCGGACCTTCCGTCCTACGTCTCGCTCCCACTCCGGGGAGAACATCACTAACATATCGGCGGTTTGGAAGCCGGAACTTCTTCTACACACCTCGTTTATATTCACCGAAAACTCTAAACAATGCAAACACTATGCAATCTCTACTCTACATCTCACTAAGTGTTGGCATAGCTGGTCTCCTCAATGTCGGTTATAACCCTCTCTAGGGATCGTCAACCACACACTCCTCTTGGGATATCCCCTCTAAAACCAACCACTCCTCACTCGTGTACAAGGTGTATTACAAAGTGATTCTCGATAATTAAGCACAAATATACAAATGATTGTTCTGGAAAACAAGGTGAGAATTCATTAAGGCAGCAAACTCTAAGTCACAAACCCACAACCCTAAATCTATACTATGAATGTAATCAATACTCCAAATGGTTGTGTGTGAACAAAGAGATTAAATCGAAAACTAAACTCAATCTAGTTCTAGCTTAATAACAAGTGATAATCAAATATTATAAAAAGCTGAGAATAGAGTTTAGAAAACTTCTCAATAGATCAGAGTTGAAGGAGTAATAGTTGAATGCCCAAACACCAATAGATGATCTCCTCAGCTTTGTAGAATTGAATCACAAAAACCGGGAAAACTCAAAATGCTTTAAAACTTCTTAAAACAAACTTAACAAACACTAAACAAGTTTAAAACCCTCTGTTAAACTCTTTAAACTATTCTCTTGTTAGAAGGACGGAAATGATGATGTATTTATAACAGACCCAAGACATCAGCCAAAACCTTTAACAAAGACAAAACAGCCCCAAGCAACGAATAAGAAAACTAGCGCGTTGAACTGAAAAAGCTTCGTCGGTCGATCGAAATTCATTGTGTCGACCGGAAATTTTTGTCGTCACCAACCGGTCGACGCACAGACCTCCTGTCGCCCAGTGAGCGTTGCAACTCAGGTTCGGATCGACGTTCGCGTCGACACAAAACTTACATAATTCAAAAAACTGTTTTTTAAAAGTATTTGAGACTTTTGAAGAATATCGTTAAAATAACAAATGAAGTCCAAAATTATGAAACTTTGGGAATAAGTATATAACATGTAAGCTGAAATGGTTACATAAAGAATTTTCCAAAATATTGCATTTCCCATTTGTGAATAAATCATCATTTTGAAAATAGTCTAATAACACTAAAATGTAACATGTAAATTGATATTTTGGTTAAAGCGCATGTTTGAAACTTTGGCACATTATATATATCAGACTTAATAAAACTATGTATATGATTTTTTTTTTTTTTTGTTTTAAGTTCGCAAAAACTAAAAGAATTAATATTTTCACAAAATTGCATATTCTATGCAATATTTTCCGAAACGCAATTAGTAAATATGAAATAATATTAATTTAGTACTTATAAACATGAAACAGCCAAAACATATTATGTACTTATATATATAAAATCTATATATTAGTGCATTAGAAACCAAAATTATGTATATATATTTAACTATATATATACTTATGAAACCAATAGATGTGTGTGTATAGATAATTGAGCTAACGTATCTAAAACACACATAAATAAATCCTAAACTATATACCCAAGTTGATCTTGATCTTCATTTGAGCTCACTTGGTCATATCACCCGTGCGGATGAAGCTTGAAAGTTGGATCTTTAACTTGAATTGACGTGCTTCACCCACAATTCCTCTCAATCTCCATTGATATGATCGTTATGGCGACTTCATCCATCCTCAACTACGTTGTTTGTCCTACAAACATAGGAATGCGACAAAGCACTAGAAAACAACATTAGTAATAATTGTTTTTCTTGTTAAACATCAACTCAAAACGAAGAAGGCTAACATCTCTCGCCTTTTTTATGATGACTAA